AACCCTCAGCAATATAATGAAAAAATTAAAACGTTCTATTTCTAGGATAAATATTTATAATCATGCAAACAAAAATGCCTGACTTGACCAGGAAACTAAACTAAAAGATTTCTTTTTTCTTTGTTCTCGAGATATAAAAAGAATATTTTAAAACTACAAGTATTAACAACCACATTTCAGAAGTTATATAACTATGTGAAAAGTGACAAAAATGTATTAAAAACATACATACCAGTCTCTGACTTATCTGCGAAAATTATTCAAATTAGTCAAAATAAAAAGGCTGTAAATAATACCAAACAATTATCCTACGAAACACTTTATATAAGATTCCCTGCGTAAGAGGCAAAAAGCCATTTCTGTTTAAGGTGAGGGCGGGGGAACGTATTCTGGGAATCAAAGCATTTATTTTCACATTTGTACTGTAAACAACGTTTTATATTATAAAAAGTTCGTTTCATATTATAATTAACACAAGCGGCTTAGCAGCCGCTGAGCCCTTTTGACTCCGCGGAGCACAGTTGAAGAACCGCTGGTCTAGAATCAATATTTGAGGAAATAATTCTACAAGAAATAATTCAATAATTGAGGAAATAATTCTCTTTCGAGCATTCTTTCTTACACAATAAAGAAATGACAATTATTTTTTTCTCTTTCCGTATCTTACAACAAAACTCAGAAATTGATATTACATTTACTTTCAAGGTTCAACTTCTACGAGACCAATACTTGAAAGCTCTTCTATTTTATGAAATACTGGCTTCCTATGAGAACAAACATCTCATGTATTCAAATCTTTCTGTTCCCGGCAATCGAAATCAGGTACAATTAAGAATATTAAGCAATTTTTCTTACTCAACCTTCATCGCCCGGTGAACGGATTGGCTGCTTCGAAGTTTTCATGATTTCCCCGTGTGTATCATTGTTGCTAGCCAGTTTCTCTTGGAACGACCTCCACGCAAGCATTCCTTCCTTTAAAGAGATAGCCCTCGCATGCTTTATCGTAACCCAAATAATCCATTCCGATTCAATCTTAGCCATCGGTTACTATGATCTAATGGTCCGTAAATTAAGCGAATTCGAACAAGAAATGCATAAAAGATTTTAATTTTAATCTGCTGTACATTTAATTTTACTCAAGCTTGCCACTGCTATACATTCAGATGGCTGAGAAAGTAGCAAGAGAAAAATTTTAATAATTTTTTCTTTCTTTCTTTCTTTAAATTTATGGTGACTTTTATTATCAGTGTTGTGAATCACATTAGTCAGCTACACCTTAATTACTAAAAAAATTACAGTAGATGGGGGGATGAGAATTAGGGACTTAGAGAAATTAATCGGAAAAGAAAGGAGAGAAAGCTTTAACATACATAACTTTTAAAAAATTATGCATGCAAATAACCTTTTTATAAAATTGGAGGATTTTATTTAATTCTCCTAACAGTTAATTATATTTTAAAAAAGCCTTTCCTTTAAACTCTCATTTTCCATTTTTGCCAGGATAAGATTTCAATTTCGCACATTATGCAAAATAAGGTAAAAAACTGCTGTTTAAGCTGGAGTCTGAGTTATTTCAGACAGAACCTGTTCTGCCTTTCGGCCACGTTGTTCCGTTACTAGTTAAAGCTTGCTATTTTAGGGTCGTGCATATTAATTGCCTGTTTGAACTACGGCGATGATATTAGCTAAGAGCCAACTAAATAGCTCTGCGCAGCTTTGGCTAGTTACTCAATTTAGCTTGAGTTTAATTTTACGTTCTATTTTTGTGTTACCGACAAAAGTGTTGACGAGGTATTTGTTAGTATGAGAAGTGGCTTCTGTGAGCTGTTCTTGAGTGAATAAAAGGGTCTTTTTACCCATCTTGAGTTGTTACTGATACAATAGAACTTAGTGAATAGTCGCTTCACAGTTCTAATAAGTTCTAGCTTCAAGTAACTTTAATTTAGCTAGAACCCTATAAAATGTCCGATATAAATGCGTGTTTCAGGGTTAGATAATGTTTATTTTTTTTTTGTACTACAAGAAGGACTCATATTTACTACATTTTCAAATTTTTGAATAATTCATATTTGAGTGCTAAATATATTATGGTATCCTATTAGCATGATTTCTTTTAGTATGCCTACATGTTGTGCTTTCTTTCGAATAGTCTATAATTTAATAAGTCATTTATTTATTGCTTAAAAATAGTGAATAAAAATAATTATGATATGAAAACTTTAGACGAGTGCCAATTTCATATAAAATTTTAAATAAAATCTCTACTAATCTAGGGCGTTTTTCTTTAATCCTATATTTTTCAAGTTTTCCTTAAGTGTATATTTCACATGCCATGTTTCTTTTCTCTGTTTGTTTAACCTGTCTCTGATGTACATACTCCGAAATCTCATAATAAAATGAAAAAAAAAAAAAAAAAAACTCACAAAAGTCTGATTAAATAAAAAAGCTGAAATGAAAACCAGTTGATGCCAGGAATGGGACACCAATTTTTACGCTTCTTAAATTTTGTTGTCTTGAAAATTGAGAAGCCGGAATACTTTTATAGTTTTTTTCTGCAAAAAGATTAGGAGCTTACTTGCAAAAAGATTATGTTATGCTTTCTTCGGTACCATTAAACACGAGCTTATAGTGTTTACTAAGTCGAGCCCGATAAAAATCACTGTTATTGAAAACTTTTTTTTTCACTTTTTTTAAAGTAGGGGGAAGATGGACTCCCCCCCCCGCATATGGGTCCCCGAATTCTACTTATGTTAATGTTGACTGGAGACCGTGGTCAGAAAGTACTGGACTATTCTACGTTTGGTTTTCATACCGACACATTTTCAGCCAAAATGTTCTCCATATGCTATTACTGTTGTAGAACTCTCTCTATTATTATTCGTGATGTTTTAACTGTTTTAACGTTTTTCATTGGTGTGCTGGGAAAAGAATATTCTCTGCTTCTATCATTCCTTGAAGTACATTCAGAGCTTAAATTTAGTCGGAAACAGGTTGAGTTCTTTCTTTGTTTTTTTAGTGAAATTGTAATTCCAGCCAGAGTCTCAAATAAGTTGAGGTCCAAGATTTTATTTTATTAGTTAAGCATTTAATATTTATTAAATAACTTATTAAATTGTTATTTATCTTTTTACATTTGATAGCATTTTGGTTATTTAACTATTATAAATATTAATTATTTTATTATTTTATTTATTACATGTTTAATTATTTTATTTGCTTATTCCTTTTCCTCCTTCCTAGTCTTGCATATGGCTCTGGCACTTCTAATTTTAGAAATTAAGTACTGTCCATATGGTAATTCAAAGGCTTATTAATCTTTATCTGCCTTAACCACACACATGATTAACACCTATAAAATAATAGTTCAGGGAATAAATGCCTCTCCAAAAAGTGTGCCGCCCGGGGCTGACCGCCCCCTCTAGCTATGCCACACTGTGATGAATAATACAAATTTTCTTATCTATCTGTTACAGAACTTTCGATCAATGAATTATGTAAAATGAACTTAAACAGCTGAGCAGAATATCTCAGTTTGCAAATAATCCCTTCTCTAGTTGCAGTATGGTAAAGCTAACTTTCAACTTCGGATACAAACACTTTCTAAGCATTTCCGCTATTCGACTGTTTTCATGCTATGCTACACATGCTTTGCCGCATTTTTTAATAATGTAATACAGTGTTTGAGCCTTCCAACCGTTCTGCTCTATCGCGCATAAGCTGCTAAATCGACATTCAAAATTCTTTGCTTTCATATCCCTCATAATGCATAAAAAATATCAAAGGCCGAGAACCTCATTTAGGATCAATAGCAGTAAAAATAAAAACTTTATTAATCATTTTTTTCTAACTTCAGAAACATTGTATGACTATTAAGTGTATCGAAACCATTTTTTTTTTTTTTTTTTTTTTTTTTTATTTCATGCAATGAAATCATAACTACCCTTTTAATTCACACTTTCTTTTTTCCCCTGCTTTATAACCCTAATTCTAACTTAACAATACATTCACTGATTTAATGATCTAAAATTCACTGAGTTCGAAAATTAAGTTTTTCTAAAATTTGGGCAATAGCTGCAAAGAAAGATAATAATAATTTATTTACTTCAGAAATATTGATTATATTATCTCCTAATATAAATTTAGTAAAATGTATAAAAAAAAGTGTGAACTCATATGTAGGAAGTTTAATTCCGAAAATTGTGTTTTAAAGTAACTTGAATGTAAATTATGAAAAAAACGTTTTAAGGGGACTTGAATTTAAATCATGAATAACAAAATTTCAAACTTTGAAAAAGAAATTTAAAATTAAAAAAACAAATAATTATTGCTATTAATCGGAAATTACATAGTTGACTTTTCAAGGGGAACAAACCAACTCTCGTTCAACGAACAAGGTGAAACAGTGAATAAGAGAAAGAAAAATTAAACATTTTTAGGGGGGATAAGCAGATAAAGAAGTGGGTGTATTTCGACAAAGATAGCATTTTTATTACTTCAAATTACAAAAAATTCAAATTATTTTTGAAATTTAAACAGTCTTTAAATGAATAAATGGCTGTTTAGCACTTAATTAAAAATAAAGCAAATAAAGCTAATTTTATTTAAAATATATAAATTCTTAATTTAAACTGCTTACATTTTTAATTCAAAACGAAACATAATGAAGCTAGATCTGCTTAGTACGCTGCTAAAATCTTTAACATTGCCAATGTATAAAATACTGTTGCCAATGTATAAAATGCTGCCAAAGTTAATACTTGCTGAGATAAAATTAATTTATGAGCTTAAAAATTAATTTTTTAAAGTTTTTATTTTCTTTTTTATTTATTTATTTTTTTTTTATTTATTTATTTTTTAAATTTGAATTACTATAGTTCACTCTTTATGGGAGCAAAATAATTCCTTCTTCACCTCATTCTGAAACATGGAAAACCCCACGTAAGAATCGCTTTTTGATTTTCATCACCAGATGGCTCTGAAAGAGGTGAACCGCACGCGCTCCGCTCTCTTGCTAAGCTTCCTTGTTTATGGCGGAGCGGTTCAGTATGTGATCCTTCGGTTATCTTGAATCGTAGCAATCCGTTTCCCGTTAATCGTATCTTCTCTCGCTCTTCTTCCTCTAGAATCATGTGCTGCATCATCCACATTAGTCATCTTGTGAAAAAAAAAGAGGGCTTGTTTATGTAGTAACGGTTTGAGAACAGTTAACGAAAGATGATTATAAACAGTATTTCACGGACAAAACATCGAAGTAAGTGATTCTAATGTCAAAAGAGAACGCCAAAAATGCTCTCTGCTTCGCAATCTTTTTTTTAATTTTTTCATCCAGACCGACGCTGTGAACACTTAATATTCATTATGTTTGCAGTCCTCTATTTATTCTTCATTTGTGCTGATTTTTTCATTCTTGATGAAACATTTAAAAAGTGAGTTATATTGCCCTTTGACATTCGGGATGTACATATGGATATTATTTCCAAATAGTTTTCCTTTTCACTATGTGTTCATTTAGTAATACCTAGAAAAATAAATTTTAATTAGTTTCCTAAGAAACGAGCAGAGTTAATGTTTTTTTACCAAATAAAATTAAAATATTTCTGCATTTAAAAATAAAATACTCATTTTTTTTTTTGGTATTGTTTGATACTTACATAAACACTGAAAAGTTGTTTTCAAAATGATTTCTTCGGTAAAAATTCTTTAAAAATATATTGGTTAAAATTGTATTTTCAACAAATTGTAAATGTATTATAAATAAATTTTCTTTTAAAATAAGTAGTTTAAATATGTTAAGTATTTAAAATAAATTTGTTAACTAATTATATATGCAAGTTTTGTTTTTTATTTATTTACTTAATCTTGTGAGGTTAACAGAATTCAGCTATTTTCTGTCTCTGTCTCTTCATCCTTTTGTGCTTGTTTGTCATTTGATTTGATGTGGTTACATAAAACTTCTTTTATCAATTGAAACTTCTTTATGTATTTCTTACGTTTCAGGTGTGGAAAAGCATAGTATTGTATACTATGAGAGTTTATGATTTTAACTACTGCTTTCCAAATAAACCGTGATGAGCATAGAAAGAAAGAAGCTTTCGAATTTTCTGTATATCCAGTATGGTATGGGAATTTCATCCTTCATTTTAATTTTTATAACTACTGCTTTATTTTTGCTTGGATGTGCTTTCTATTTTATTCTATATGAAGAGTTCAAAACATTAGTGGCACAGCACAGTCTTAGATGGTTTTGAGAAGTGGTTAATTAAAAGTGTACCAAAAGTACCATGTTAGTGGTTCATTAGAAATGTACCAAAAATTAACGACCATACCAAAACAATTTTATTGACTTTATGTATGATAGTAGTAACTTAGTTGTATTAAATTCTGTTGTGAAGAAATGATATAGAAAATAATGAGCAAGTATGGAGTTGTTTTGATTGTGTATTAAAGTATAATATAAAAATGTAGTAGGGTTCTTAGGCCTGTAATAACACCAGTTTTCTTAAGTATAGCAATAAATTTGCCAAAATGGGGCCCCTATACTTGCAGGACCGTCGGCCAAAATGGGCTCTTAGTGTCAGTATGTTCAGGTGGTAGCTTCCATATGTTATAAGAAATGAGCAGAACTATATAGCAATTTCTTAAGTATGAATGGTATGAAGAAAAGGCTATTTTTAAGAGCATCAAACATGCTTTTATTTTAAGTAACATGTAATGATCTTTTAGTGCTGCTAGACTTTAAAAAGGTATGCCTAGATTGAACTTATGGAAATCTGTATAATGTATTTGGGCTATAACAGGGATACCTCCCTTGGGAAGAATTTCATAGTTTCAGAATGAGAGTGCAACCAGCTTCTTATTTAACTGTTAAATATTTAATTTTAGTTTATCAATATAAAAAGCTACTTTTATCCAAGTTTTGGTATTTATGAACTTTTTCTTATTTGATTTAAACACATTAAAAAAGAATCTAAATTTAAATAAATATATGTCATAATTTTGATGCATAGAAGGAAATACTGGAACTCTTAACAACTTTCAGTAGCAGTCATGGCTTATGGTTAAGGCATACAGATGAAGATAACAAATTGTATTTTGATAAATCACCAATCTTTATTTTCACATATATCCAGTTAGTTCAGCAGACACTTATTCAATCATAATTAAATAGGATAAATTGCTATGCACATTGTTTTTTTTTACAAGAAATGATGTAGGCATTTGGGAAGTAAAACAGCAGGGATATCTTAGATATGGCAAAGCTAAAAAAAAGGGGGGGTAGTTTTCCATTCCGTTTACCGCTGTTCGTCGCGCTTAGCTAGAATGTGGGTCTAGCTTTTGCCGGCTGTCGTGAAGTGTAGTTGCTTGAAGCACTGCAATATTGTCTATATTATACAGACTTAATATTGAAAGAGATGAATATTATATATATTAAGTCTGATGTAATTATAGAGACAAGCTGTGATTGGTTAATTTGAGGTTGTTACACAACATAGGAGGTTCTCGAATTTAGGGGAAGAGAACCAAATCTAAAGTAATTAATTTTGAGGTCGCCAATTATTTTTAAAGCAGCTATTGTGTTTTCTTATATCTTGCATACTTATGTATTTTTTGAGTTTTCAAAAAGCACTGGTAATTGATCATCTAGCAATGGTGAAAGGAGTGCATGGGGCCAAAAAAGTTGACTGTAACATTCCCTAAATTTTATAATGCTGTGCTTCTAATTTGCATCTGTCTAACTCTCACTTGTAATCAACACTTTAACATCTCTAACCTCTCTTTTTTTTTTTTTTTTTTTGGTCTAGTTATATGATGCTGTCAAATGAAATGCATTATTTGATATATTTACTGCAAGCTTAAGTTATACATTTTTTTAGAGTCAACTATTGATGTTATTATCTTGTCTGTTGTTGTGGGAAGAATGATGTATTCTCTGCCCATAATATTGTCTGCAGACAGAATCTGTAAATTGCAAAGAAAGGGAACATAACAATCTTAGAGCATTGAAAGTTTGACATCACACACTCCACTTTCATTAACATGAAGTTATGCCATCTAATGATCTGAACTTTCATATATATTTATCATCCTTGTGTTTGTGATCAGAACTTTTTGTTTGTGTAAAATATTGTCATATTGTTTAAAATTTGGAAAACTTTGTAATAAATGTGATCAGTAACTTTCATCCTGTTTTTTACTCTTACAGATCTATATATGAAATGCTTTAAAATGTGAATATGTAGATTATGTGATATTTTTGCTTTCATTATAAGATTTTATGCATGTAATTATAGCTTTTATATATTATTTATTTATGAAAAGTGTTTTGTATTGTATGTTAGTACATGTACTGAGATCATAAGTTTTATTCATTTGTGATTAGTATTCTATATATGAGGAAGACAGAAAATAAGTTTGAAAATGGAATGTTAATTTTTAGTCTGTGAAGATTTATTATTATTTTTTGTAAAAAATTAGATGAGGGGAAAAAATTATTTTATATTTTAAAATGTGTGTGAATTGAATTTTTTTAAATATTCTCTTTTTCCTCCTCCCAGATCTCCTGATATTAAGCTTTTTGATTTTATTTGCTGCTGTTGGTTCTGTGCAAGGCGAAGCCATTACAGTAAATGGTAATCCACCTATCGTAAAACATCTCCAATTTCCTTATAGAACACAATATGCTTATGGAGATTTGGCTGATTATGGTTTTCATCAAAAAGCACCTGCCTTCTCAAAAAAGCCTGCTATTGTAAGCGATAAAATATTCCAGATTGAACCATCTGATGCAACTGATGGTCTGAAGTATTCACAGCCTGCAGTTAATTACCATCAGCTCAATTCCTTCCCTAATATTAAAGTGCCTTTATCTTCTCTTCTAAAAGACAGAATATTTCAAATACCTTCTCAGCTTCATAATTCAGAAAAAATGCAAGGACAAGCCTTCTCTGCTAGTAAAGTGACTGAAAAAGGCTCATCTAAACCCATGAGAGATATAAGGTACCTGGATCCCGTGTTGGAGAAAACATCTCAGCTGTCAGATGCTGTTGTGGAATCAGAGTACAAAATCAGAGATGGAGATTTTGATAATGTCTTTTTATCTGATACGAGTTTTAATGGCGAGTCAACACATTTTTATAAAGAAGATAAAAATAATTTTACAGATTCAAGTGAAAATTTACTTTCTATTTCATCTGATGCCGTTTTAAGTTATGAAACTCCTGTAAATTTTTCTAAAGATATAGCTGTGGATAAACATAGCCCTAGATATTCTGAGGAAGATGTGTCTAGTCTTTATTCAGATACCAAAACATCTGAAAACTCTAATTATAATTTATCAACTAACTTGCCAATTTTAAAGACAGTTTTGCCTGAATTTACTACTCAGACATCTGTAGTGTTCAGCACTCATCTGTATATAGAATTTGTAAATCAAACTAATTCTTCACAAAATGGTATGATTACACTTCCATCCACACATACTGATGGAAATATTTCAACTGCAATGCCATCGTTAGAGAATGAAACCAATAAGCTGTCATCAGGAACTGTTGCAGGCATAGTAATTGCTGTTCTAGTGTGTATAACTCTTTTATCAAGTAAGTACTTTGAATAGTGCTCGTAAATGCAATATTTTTCTTATGTTAATTAACAGGATCATTGTTTTAGAAGTCTGTTAATAATAAATTTTTATTATAGCTGCAATTACAGATTGTTCCACAGATCTGTTACTGTATGTTCATCTGTACTACCTAAGTGAAAAATTTTCATTGTAGATTTAGAATCATGAGGGGATAAATCTTGGAGTTCTGAGTAAATGTTTATATAACTTTTGCATTGTTGTAAAAGTAAGGTTAAAGTAGATTGAAAGGTGCCCTTTGGATAATTGCTAAGTTGTTTCCTTTAGGGTAACCTAAGTAGTTGAATGTTATGGAAACCCTATTATGACGTAATTGGTTGCGTGGTTGCGGTCAGTTTGAATCATGGGAAGAAATTAAGGGCTTGTTTGTGTGTTGGATGTTGCTTAGGAAGTACGGTGGTTATTTTGTGGTTTACATGGTAAAATGGTTGAATGTGGTAAGATTAGTTTGAAGTTTCTGTACGATTTGGAATGAAAGGAGAAAAAAAGCATTAATTGACTGCTGTGTAAATGAAGGTTTACTTAGTAGTCATTATAAGTATCATGTTTGTAGGAAGGAAATGCGTATGGTCGAACGTCGGACAATACCTACACTATGGAGGATATTTTTGTGAATTTATGTGGCAGTGCCATTATACACATTCTAGTTCAGATAATTTTAGGAAGTTTTTGGATGCTGTCAAGGAATTTTGTTTGAACTCCGAAATTCGTATATATAAGTGGATATTTCCTTTGTGTAGTGCTAAGATGAATTTCCTTTTTTACGTTGCTTCATTGCTTGATTTAAAATGTAGTTTATTGAGAATTATATATTTTTTGTTGGCTGCTCCTTTGACTTTTTAAGTGAATATAGATTGATGTGTACATGGACAAAATCAAGGGAGTGCCCGTTGCCTAGTTTGTGCAGTCTCTGATTTTTTTTTAAAGTGAAAATAGGTCGATGTGTACATGGATACCGAGTCTGTGCAATTCTTTGACTTGTTATTTTGGATTCGTGTAGCGGCGATTTTTGGCGCAAAAAACGCTGTTACATAAAGCCAAAATAACAAGTCAAAGAATTGAACAAACTCTGTGTCCATGAACCACCAATTATCACCAAGGGGCGTCCATAAATATATTTTTACCAAATAATACATATGTGAAAATCTTCTCCTGCCAAGGACAGAGTGATTGTAAATTACATCTGAACATATGATTAAGAGGATAAGATTGCCTTTACTGGAACACTTAAGTTGGAATTTGTGTCACAAACAAACAATATGGCTAGATTCCACCTAACCCACAAAATTAATATTAAATCTTATGAGAAGGGCTCATGATTTTTTAAATTATAAATTAAATTCTTGGCTATATTTTGAGTAAAAACTATTAAATAATTAAAATTTGTGTTTAAAATTTTCTTACAGTGCTTAGAAATAATCATCACCTGTTTCAAACTGCAGCTTGATGAGATCGCTTGTTCATTTTTCTTTAAAAAAAAAAAAAAAAAAAAAGTATTAACTTTTATTTATCTGAAATGTAGGTACATACATGTATCTAATCAAATAAATATTCTATGAAGAATAATTTAGATATTATCCTAGTTTATCTCCAGAACTAAAATAAAATAATGATGTAGTACATTGTTGTGTAATTAAAAAAAATACACTGACGGGATCTGTTCTGTAAAATATTTCTGGATTGTTATGAAAATCAGACATTGGTATTGTGTAAATAACATGTAACAATCTTTGACTGAAGCGTAGAATTACAGTGAGCTACTCTTTTTAAAAATGTTTGAAAGAAACAATTTTCCATCTTATATGAGTTCCCGAATAAGTCTGAAGTTTCAAAAGAATTATATTGAATGTAAAAAAAAAATTCTCTCTACAGATGTTGAAGAAACATGTGTTGTAAGTAATTGTGTAATCATATCTAATGTATTCTCATTGATACTGTATCCTCGACAGCATAGACTTCCACCATTCTTTAACCCATTCGCGACGGGCACCTCTGTTACTGAAGCGTTCTCTTGGGACTGTGTGTTAACCGTATCCTTCATCCTGTGGGTACAGGCAATTTACGCTGCTAAGCTTAACTCTGGAAAAAAATTCGTATAAATGAAATTTGTCTTCCAATTTTGGGTACATTATGAGAAGAACATTCAGAATTAAATTTAAGCCTTTATATTTTCCTTAAAACTTTTATAAAATACTCATTCTAGAATAATATAATTTTCCCCTTATCGCACAAATAAATATATATGGTAGCCAAACAATCACAGATTTTATTTAACACAACACACAATTAAAATTTAAAAATATTAAAACTGTGTTTCATAAAAATTCAATGAGCAAACAACGAAAAGTAAGCAATGTTTCAAAATGAGACAGTGTATGATATTCTTTGACACATGGGTGTACGCAAAGTCCAACATTGCATTAGTCACAGGAATATAATATCTGCTGCTATTTTACTCAGCAAATTTGATTCATTTAGCATTTGTATACGTTCTATGGTCAGATAGTGCTTTCGCTTTGCCATTTAAAAAAAAAAGCCTTTCGCTAAGCGATACAAAATATTTGTCTCAATGCCGGAAAACTCGAAGAGTAATAAAAAAGTCTCTAATAATAGAACATCTACTCCACTATAACCAATATAAAAATAAGAAAAATTAATAAATTAAATTAAAAGTATTCCAGAGCATTGAGAACATGTTCATTTGTTTACATAAAATGACGCAGTAAGAGCCATTACATTACTCAACACTAACAAATTAGCGATTGTGTATATATTTTACGTTTAGATACTGCTTTCGTTTGCCAATAAAAAAAGATAAGTTTCGCTGATGATTAAAATATTGATCTTAAAGCATGAAAAATCTAAGAGTAATAAAAAAAAAATCTCTAATGATAGAATGTCTATCACACTATATTGTAAAAATAAAAAGTACCTCAATGCAGCGAGAGCACGTGCATTTCTTTATATCAAATGACACAGTCAAAGAGACATTACATTGCTTAACACCCACCCACATATCTGGATCTCATTTCAAAACAAAATACCAAAAATAAAAATCATTGCATAGGAATGAAGTTAAACATAATTAACTTTTGATTTATTTCCCCATAGCAGGCATACAGGTACATCTAGCGGCAACAAAAAATATTAATTAAACGTTCTATCTAAAAAGTCAAATGTGGTACGCCCAGCCGGTAGAGTGAATTAAATGGCGATTCAAATATGATGCACTCAGCCGTACGGTAATGTTCGCTGCTGATGCACATATGACATACCCGTACTGAACAGGTTAAGAGTTACTTTGTCTACAATACTGGAGTCAAGTCATGAAAGAGTTTTGATTTTGTTTAAAATTTCATTAAAATAGACATTACCATTTTAAATACTTTTTTTAATCCCCAAAATGTAAACATTTCTTTTTCCTGTAACACTTCTATTTTCTCCAATACAACTTTTTTATATTTACTAACTTTTTTATTATTTTTTTATTATATTTACTAACTTTTTTATATTTACAACTTTTTTATATCTAAAAATTATAAAAAAATGGGATGAGCCCAGTTCTTTGTCATTATGATCATGAATGTTTCATATGCATGTCTTATCAAGTTTTTCTTCTACCAACTTTTTCTCTAAATCCTTGCTGTTATGAGCAGCAGTTGATAGTGCAGTCTAGTGCTATTTCATTTAGAAGAAAATGTTCTGAATGTAAAGCAGAGATTTTAATGCACTAAACTGTATGTGGCCTTATTGCATTTCAGTTGCTTTTCTTTTCATTCATTTTTCTGTTTGGAATGCATTTCAGCTTCCAGAATCTTTGTAGTAATTAAACTACTTATGATAACACAAGTATTAAGTTGATTTTTTAAATATCAGTCTCCATTATCTCGCAAATATTTAGTCACATGCTTTTTTCAGTATGACTATTAACTTATGATTGTTACGTATATCTTAAATTACATATAAGATTAATATAAATCTTATTGCTACCTTGCATTTTACACAATAAAAAAGTAAGTGACTTTCCTCAAACCACTTTCTATTTCTTTTGTTTACAATTTATCAGTAGTAGTTTTACATGTTTTCTATTGTGCATGATTAGTCATCTGCAGTTTTATTACATAAGATATGGAAAATTTGTGATTTATGCACTTTTGATAGTTTTATGTTGTACACAAAGATTGAGGCTAAATTTAATCCTTGATAAATAAAGAATAAAGATGTTATCTTAAGTATTTAAATTAAAGTGTAGGCTTTGTTTGCATTAAAAGAAATATAGTAGAATTAAAAATTTGTGTATTTCCTCTATCCTCAGTATCCGATTTCAGTAATAATTTATTCACCTTCTTTTTGTTTACACATATGAATTTTAATATTTTATTCTCATATTCTTATATATATTTTGATTTACTATTGTTTTACTTATTTCATTTCATTAATATTTTAATTACTCTTACTGATTTACATTAGAGCTGTAGAATGACCTAAGTAGCGCGGCAATGTCGTAATGACGTTGCAAACTCGTTGCGGGTCATGTCACAAAAACGTTGCAATATGTCGTCTTTAAGACACCCAGATGTCCGCGAAACTCCACTGTTTTACAACCGTTGCAAAGATGTCTTTATTACGTCTTTGCAGATGAGGTTTTTGTTGCATAGACATCGTTATTGCATCTTTCTCAGGTTATATTTTGGCTGTGAAAGCATCGTATCACGATGTCTTAATGACACCTAAATGTTCGCAGAATTCCACCTTTTTGCAACAGTTGCAAAAATGTCGTTATTATGTCCTTGTGTTACATATTGTAATAATTAATTTATTTTTCTTCTTTTTTAAAATTTTGTATTCCTTATATTTTTCTAAAATTTAATTATTTTATCATTGCCTGAAAGCCAGAAGATAATATTATTTCTTCTCTTTAGAATAAATATGTATAATTAATAATAGCCTTAATTATTT